TTTATAATAATACAAAAAAAAATAAAACCAGTTTTAAAAATATTCAATAAACTTTATTATTATTTTTTTGTTTGAACTGTTAGCTCACATCCTGATGTGCTGTATATTTTTCGATGCATTGCATTATTCGTTTTTTATTCTCCTTTGATGACACTCTTACTCGCTTCTAGTGACATTTAAATATATGTACAACAGCGAACTTCATTTCGAGTGTAAAATGAAACCACTCAACCTACAAATCCAGTTTTTATCTGTCCTTTATGTACATAATGCTTCTCCCTTTTACTTGCACGAGTATTCATTGTTCGACGTTTACTACGGTATAGTCACGAATACAATGAAAAGGGGAAGAAAAAAGCAAAGTGTGACGACACAATTACTGGCAGCCCCAATTTTTCGGACAACACCATTAGGTATGAAATCTACTATTTTATTGTACTGAAGTCTTATGAATGAAAAAAATAAAAAATTTAAAAACTTGGGAACTACAATATTTTCATCGCGCAAATAATTTTTTTTATACGTCGAACAGGCCGTAATTTGATAAACAAGAGCAGCTGCAGGTTTTTAGATAAATTGTCTAGATTAAATACACCCATTGCTAATTTATATTTAAATCAATTGATTCATCACAAATCGTACGATTAAAGCATATTAAACCATCCTGATGAAAATTTGTCTTGTCAACATATTACGTAATCCGTATGTACCTTCAAGCTCGGCAACGACTCGTGGGATGTTTCGTTTATAAAAAACAGTGTGTACCAAAAATCATTACAAATATAACGTGGTAACAACTAGATTGTAAAAGCATTCAAGGTACCTTCATAATATGATTAACTCTCGTGTAAGTTTATTTTAGCCACAGAATTGATAGATTCATATATATGCATACAGAAAACGAAATTATGCAAAAACCAACAAACGACGAAACACTGCAATTTTCAATGCAAAGTCTAAGATACCAAATAGTTACGTTTTAAACGAAAGATGGGAAGACGCCACGTTTGCTATCTAAGCTCATCGTACGTTAATAATACATATGCATATTCATAGAAGAAAAATCAGAGCAGGGAGTAAAAGCTCGATGAATCCCTAGAATTCGCGTGCCTGGAGTTGAGGTAATGAAATTCCTCATAATTCGTGAATAATTTAATTAGCTTTAGAGATGCCGTGTTGTATGTTAAAATATTTTTGCTAATGTAGTGGTACACCTGAATATGGATGGATCCGTACTAATTTCATTAATAAAATTTAATCGGCAGCTTTTTAGCTGATCCCACCTGTCCGAGATAGAATTCCTCGTCCCACAACGATATTCTTCAAACTCGGCGTGCTCGACCAACTTGGCCTTTCCTTGGCCCCCATCGATGGAGAGGTCGAAAAATCCCTTATCTTCCCAAAACTAGTCCTGGAACCGATGGGCGGGCGTGCGTAACTAAATCAGCCGAACACGAAAGTTTTAGGAGTTTTAGGAGAAGAAGACGGTGGTGGAAGACGAAGCCAGTGCTGCTGTTCCCAAGTTTTAAGGTTTTCAAGCACTGCTAGACGAGACTACCCGCGTGACTGGACGATTAATTGAGCGGCACAATCAGGTTTCCAGCTGCTATGGCTTCTTTTTTCTCTCTGTCTCCGTCCTCTCTGAATTTGGTTCGCTAATTATTTGTTGGATTGATTTTGTTAATATTATCATTTGTTCCGTGATTTATATTTTCTCAGGTGAACAGTCCTGAAAATTAAAAATTTTTTGACACTGCGATTTTTGACCATCTGAAGGTTTTTATGACAAATTTTTTACCCTTTTTTTTTTTAAATTATAACACTTTCGAAAACCTTTTGTTATGAACATCATACTTTTTTGCAACTTCAAATTTTTACTTTCTTTTACACTTTGGCAATCTTTTTATTTACATATTCTTATTTCCTCGAATCATTTTTGTTACATAAAGATTTCATAATTGATTACAATTACATCAAGAATTTTTTTCACAAACATATGGTCAGCGAGGACAATCTAGCTGTAAACTTGAAGGTATAGACTCAAAGACTGAGTTTTGAGTTTAAAAAACTTTGGCTTAGCGATAGAGTAGAGCAGTAAATATAGAGATGAAGAAAAAACGACGGTCTCAGATAGGTATACAAGAATGAATTCCCTAACAACAAAAACTAATGTGCCTCAGTTGTTAAAATGGTAGTGTAAAAAAATTTTAATAACAAACACATAAATTATAGTGGTCGTGGAACCAAAACTGGAATTCATTTTTTATCCAGACTGTGGCTCGTCAGACTCAGGGCATTAATATTTAGCATTAGAAAATATTCCCTTGGTCTGCCTGTGTGTCAGTTTCATTGGCAATGTCGGTAGTATGTACAAATGTGTACGTTCGTCTACTCTTAACTGCGTAGAATTCCAAAGCTTTCGTCTCGCCTTCGTTAGAGAAAACGACTGCATAATTTTGCCAACTTCCCCAGTGGATACGCTATTCGGACCGAATGTTCAGTTAGGACGTGTGTGCACGGAATTTCAAAGCTATGTACTCGGCCAAACGTTTTCAACCGAATTTTCAAACTTTCCATTAGAGATGGCAGGATTTTCAATCAAGTTTTGTTGAATTGAAAATTTGAGGGAAGGTGTTACAAAATATTTCTTAAGGGTATCTGCTGATTGATCTTGCCAAAAAAAACTCTTCTATTCATAATTGTAAATAAGAAAGTTCAGGAAAAAAAGCCCAAAATCGTGTGCACTTCGTTAAGATGAGATGAAAATTGAACCTTGTCACCTTGCTAGTTCTTGCACTGAAAAACATTTTCATGAAAATTCTGTAGTTAAATAGTTTTTTCAGTTAAAGGTTATAATAGTATGTCTAAAAAATTTTTGTTGCATCAGATGCTACTTTAATGATGTATATATAAAACCTTAGGTTATGCAAAATTATGAATTATTTAAACCTCTCTATCATAGGCAAGCTGATTATGTAAGCTTATTTTTTATCAGAAATCATTTTGTCAAAGTACACATAAGCATGCTTTTTCAGCTGGTGTGGAGAAAAATCAATAATCAACAATAAATTAATGGAAATATAAGTTCACAAACCCCCAACGATTCGACTTACATAAAATGAAAGAGAGAAGTGGTGTGCACCTCTAAAAGCTACAACAATACTAGTGGAGCACACGTACATGTAAGTACATACGAGAGAGTAGTAACAAAGTAAAATCAACAGAAACCAAGGAATGAAAAATGGATAAACTCAAATACGAGAAAATTCACATGTATATGCACGTGTCTGAATGTCAATTCTAACATATGTTTGCGAAGATACGTAGTATAGAGGAAACATAGGGTATACCCCTCTGTTAAAATATTTAACGAGACATACGTGGACTCTACTCACGCTCCAAGAATCCCACTTCATGAATTTTGTCTCACTTTCCGTCCCTTCTATTTTGGGCTCCACGATTCCCTCTTCTATATTTCACTTGTTTTCTTTTGAGCTCAACCATAGTACATTACTGCTACATTCGGAAAAATCCAATTTTATTAACTTGAAAATATCTTCTATTCAAGTAATTATATATTATCACCCTCGAAAAATCAATTGATGATTCAATGCTCAACTAATTCGCTTACCGATATGTTTTTTCATTACTTAGATGCTTCCTGCTACCAGTTTCTATGATTATTTAACATCCATCACTGCCATCCCAAGAATATTTGCATCATGTTTATATGTCGCAAAACAAAACACATTTTTATCGGGTATGAAATGCCATGGTAGAGGATTCGGGTGAATACATGCTCTGGGAGCACAAAAATGTAGACCAGCGTTACATATGACATATTTATTTGCATATTTCAACCCACGCAAGTCAAACGGTTTTTCTATTTTTCCAACACGTATGGGTATGTTTGTAAGTACCAATGCGTAAAACAGAAATCGATCGCAAAACACCTCACTACAATAACGTGATGCAAGAAAATTTTCCTGCTGCTCCGAGTTTCAATTCCATTGTCCATTTTCACTGTTTTGCTTCGCTCTCGTTGTATTCATAACGCTCGGTATAATCGAAGCACGTCTGCGTAAAAATTGTGGGAAGCCCAAGCGAGCGAGAGGACATCGATTTTCCGGCTCACGAAGTCTCCATGTGCTATGGGAAGAACGAATCGAATGTACGTCACACGTGGATGCGTACAAGTTTTCGCGCCAACGTGTGTATACAGTGCAAGCTCTCAACTGATTGTCGGCCCTAATTTACTGATCTACGAGCATATGTAGCTACAACTCTGTTGAAATCGAATTGAGAGTTATCTTTACTATCAATTTATGCTCATTACACTCGCAAGGTCTCTTGAATAATATTTTCTTACGCTATGCTAAGCTTAGAGAATTATTTATTATTTTTTCATTCATTTTTTATAGTTCCCAAAAATCAAACTGACTGATGTCTTCAAAGTAATTTTAATAGAGATACCGATTCTCAGTCCAGTAGTGGGATCTCATTATAACAATTGATACATCGCATTACATTATCATTGGGTAATCAACTAAACTAGCTACAGTTGAGCCGAAAAATATTTCATCGACAGACTGACAGTATTAAACAGATTTTATCGGCTAATGGTCTCTAAATGCCACCAACAGATGTACGTTTATGTAAACTCCATGGAGCTTTAACTTTTCAGAAACTTTGTTTAGAGTTGGAAATTTTTTATATGAGATGTATGAACGAGTGGACAAGAAGGAGAGTAGTTGTACGGAAACAAAAGGATTAGCAGAGAACAATGTGGCTAGAGTCGAAATTGAAAATTAATGAGAATAGTTCTTTTACAACTATCTGTCTCTGGTTTTATTTTTCTGACCCACCCAGAAGTATGAAGCTTTTTTTTAAGTAGTAGATCAGGAAATCGCTTGCTCCAGATTAGAACCTTAATGTGTTTGGATGGCTGGAAGTTGTCGATCACTCGTCGGCCCATGCAAATTTCGCTTACCAACTTTTTTGATCCTTTAATGTCCATACGGGGAAGGATCAAGGTAAATGAATCGTATTGAGAAAAACTATAGGAGTGAAAATCGAGGTCTCATTGAAAGTGTATTTTTCTTCTACTTGCATTCAAGTTTACTAATGTAGAGAGTTTATTGTTGTTTGATGGACTTTTACGGTTGCGATTTCGATAATCTGGTCGTGATTGTGATTCCGCGGTCATTGTAGTAATAATAACTTAATGTCAGTTTCTATTTCGCATCCACTGAACAGGTAGAAAAACGTAGAAACTTCTGTTGGAAGAAACGAACGAAAGAATAAAAAAGAATAAAGTACACGGATAAAATAATGCTAGAGGTTGCAGATAAATGTATCACCCCAAAATTGAGTTTGATTCTCAGCCTCGGCTCTCCACTCCTTTATCTAAGCCTCGGCTTCTCTAAAAAGAATTTTCTCCTTTTTAACTTTTGTGTGCACCTTCTCCGACTCTCCTCTCATTCTCTCGCCCTCCCTCTCTATTTATCAAGCCCCGGCTTGTGCATGCCCGACCGATCTCGCGTGTCCCAGCGAAATTTACTTGCCCTTGATGTGCTTTCTCTTTTGCCCCTCCACGCCTCGATCTCGATAGACTCTATAATTATCCCATTTTATCTTCATCAAACGAGAGTGGTCAGAGCCTGTGTATGTGTGTGCACGTGTAAGGCAAGTACATAGCCCTCCCTCAGTGTGAGCAAGCGGTTAAATTGCTGCTGCATTTTCATCGATGTGTACGTACATGTACCTTGAAGATGCTATTTATAATTCTTTTCCTCTTGTTTTTTGTGTACCCTACACATACATGTTAGACGAGTTAAAAAGATACGAATAGCAGCTGCTACCACTGTTTGCTGAAAATATGTATCGACTTTTTGCTTGGCCCCATTGTTTCTTCATTAGAGTAGATAAAAAATAAAACTCTGCTGATGTACACCACTAATTAAGCGGTTAATTGTGTTGGTTGGGTCCAGGTGCGCGATATTTTTGTGCATGTAAATACATTTTCATTTCCACTGGACTTTTTTCTTTTTCGCTTTCACTTGGCAAAAAATCTCCAACAAACACAAAAGTTATCAATGCTTCATTTGAGCGTTTTATGAGGCAATTTTAGTACACCAAACTTTCGTTTTAATCAAAATAAATAAGCTAAGCTGGTGTAAAATGAACGCAGATTTACATGCGAAATTAATGCTCAAACAAATTTTGCAATTAAAAATCAGTTATTTTCTCTCCTCCCGCTGTCCGATGTAAAATCACTTGATTATTCTCAGAGCTTTAACGTAACATCATAATTTGAACGAACTTCAATTAAAAGTAGTACTTAATTTGACTCTCAGGGGATTTCAATCGAGCATTAATCATCTTTTAATTTTTACTTTTCAAACTAGTAGTGTGAGTCGTCGAATAGTCAAACAGATGCTTATAAGAACTTGCTACCATTTTGTATCATTTTGAAATTATTTTTCAAACTAGTAGTATAAGTCATTGTTGGTCAGACAAACGCTGCATATATAAGTTCTTTGCTGTTTTAGACCATTTTAAACTTTTTTTTTCTAGAAACTACTTCAAAGTAGTACGACCTTTTGTACAGTCAGACAGACGATACTTATGTGCTTGCTATAATTTTATACTACTTTTAGCTTTTTTCTAACTAGTAGTATGACTCACCGTATGATAAAATAAATGTCACATCCGAGATTTCTACGATTTCTTATCGTTTTGAACAATTTTTAAAACTAGTGGTATGACTTGACGTATTGTCAGACATGTGCTAAATCAGCACTTCCTACAGTCTTATATAATTTTTCAATGAAATTATTTTCTAACCTAGTCGTAGAATTTGTTGTAAAATTGATAGACTCCTTACAAACACTTACTAAAATCGTATACTTATTTTTAATGAGCTTCTTTTCAACTAGTAGTATGGCTCGTGTTATAGTCAGACGAACACTTTAATAATACTTAAATTTTTTTAATGGTTGTTTGGTTATATTTTTGAGTGCATTGGACTCGAAATTTCTCATAGAAACGAGAATCTCGGTGCATCAGCCTACCCCACATGTATGCACATGAAGCTGAATTTGCATTTTCAAATGACATGAGATATTTCTTCTTCACTTTTTTATTTTTAGTGACGCGTTCTTTGCTTCAAAGACAACGAACACGATCCCTGGTCCTCGTGGCTTTTCTACACTATGAACTTTCATGCCTTTCTTATCCAGCGATACTGGGCCCTTTATACACAAATTTCTGCTCTTTGAGCCATAAATTTCTTTACATAACATTATGCACAACAATTTTTTGGGTTTATGTAAAAGTCATTGCAGCAATTTTGGGAACGTTTTGATAGTCATGCTTTTGATGTAATATTAATATTTACAATAAATAGTCGATTTAAATTTCGGAGAGTTTGCAACAAAACCTAAAAAAAGAAATTTTCAAGAAATATCTTAAGAAGAAGAAAAAAAACACCTAGAAGACTCCTATTTCTTATCTCCATATTATGGCATCAGCCAATATTTTCCACCTTCTGCATTCCCCGAAGATCAACCTCTACATATTTCTATTATTTGCTCCATCCTTCGCATACAACTGAAAATATATACTCATCTACTACTACCAAGCACCAGTGCTCGTTCCTTTTTTTTGTCTTATGTCTTATCATATTCGCCACATTTTTCTGTGCTTTTCCTTTTAGCTTTATCCCACATCTCTTGCGGATTTTCTTTCCAACACTCTCTCAAATATACACACTCCGAAGAAATACGATTTTCCTCCATCAGCTTTATAATAACTCCTCTATCTACATTTTCACAGTAATATCAACAATAAATCATTGATTTCAGTGACTTTCTTTTAACCCCCGTGCAACAAACTTTCCACCTCCTTCTGGCAGTTTTATTTTCTCATTTCTAGCGTTTACCTTAACACATGCATGCACACACTCACCGTACAGCCATGATTTTTTTTTTCGATCAATAATTAGTCGACGGATTGCAACTGGTTTTCTTAGTTTTATATTTCGAGGAATATATCGAGAAAATAATTTCTCTGCTTATCATCTAAACGGCATTATAAAAATTTATGCAAGCAGAGATTCTGAAGAGGCTTACATCCTTTGCGAGTGACAAGCGTGAGAGTAGCATAATATTTTCAAAGAAATTTCATTTAAACTACCTTGAATGATTAAATTATTTTTCAATGTTGTAATTTTTCTTATTTTTTAATCAATGGTAAACAATGGCAGAAAAAACGTATTATCACAAAGGTTAAAAGAATCAATGGATTGCAGAAATATTTAGTAACAAAGTGAGACTGTTTTTTATGAATTTTTACCCTTTTTTATTTTAATCTCGAAACTATTCGAAAAAAAAAATATTAATAACTTAACAAAACAAGTTAGAATCTTATTAAAGTTAAAAAATGTATTGAAGCCCTAAAACCACATAGAAGCAGTTTTTAATTCCAATCAACTCTCACCCACTCGTTAACTGAGTTATGTGAAAAATATGAAAGCCTTAACTCTAATTGACTTTCATTGCACGCATTCGTAATTAAGAAATTTTTTAGTAATACAAAAAGATGGAAAAATATTAATTTCAAAATCATCGTACTAAAGAAATTATTCCGACGTAGATATATTTTGTATGCTCTTAAGGTGAAATTTAAAATAAGCTTGCAAGCTCCCCATTAGATCCGCATAAATGTTTTGACTGTAAATATTTTCAGACTGTCTCCATAATGAGAGCACAGAGCAACTTGTAAAAAAAAAAAAAAAAAAAAAAGCTGACAAGAACGATCAGGAGGTGTTACCTGGTTGCCGTAACAGTAGCAGAAATAGCAGGAGCGTTGACAGCGATATAGGTGAGGAGTCCATGGCTCGATAACTCGGGTGCCTCTAATTATTATTATCGTGGCTCTAAGCTCGAGCGTATGTTGTATTCCGTCTCTTCCTCCGACACTTGCCAATGGCTTCTCTCTGCAGCTTCGCACGTGTGTCTGTCGCTTCGTTATCACCGACAAGTGACGCCGCGTCTGAAACAAAATTAATACGCCATATTATTTTGATGAATTCCAGACAAAGTGATATGGGGCTCTTACTCGTCAATTATTACTCATCGCACACGAACGCGTCTTAATTTCGTATTTTTAGCCCGACGGATTGATACGATATTCCTTTGTCACAGCCTTCAGTGTAATTAATCAATGCTACGTTTATCCCTTTATGCAATGTGGCAGACACTTTTATTTTAGCTCTTTATTGACAACCACTTAAATCAATAAAAAAGGTTTAATACAACAATTTAACAAAGTACAAACTTATGTTGTCTATTTTTTAATTATAAACCCGATTTTTTAGTGCTAGAGTCCTAGAATACATCAGTTAAATTTCTATTTACAATTTTGAAAAATGGTTTCTTCAAATTGCTTACATTGTTCGAAGCAAAAAAAGCCATTAAAATAACGAGCGATTCCATACAAAGAAGGACGCTCCGATAACTCTACACTCGGCAGCTGTACACATCTACGACAGAGACGAGACGTGACGTCGAAACTGTGAAAAGAACTAGCCTACGCCATTATACCCTAAAGTCTATAAGCACACACAGGTACACACACCCACTCATACTCTCGCGATAAAGGCACCGCAAAATTGTCTCTCTAGCCGAGTGGGTGCGAAAGTTTTCGCGCAGATGGTGTAAAACTACGCCCGCATATATGCGGCACGTATACGTATTGTGTCACTGTCAATTAAGTGCACAGGAATGGTCAGAACGCTACGCTCACACGAAACTTGCCAATGACTTTCTCTTGATAATCGAGAGCTTGACAGTTACGAAAGAGCCGGCGTGTCTCTCTCGATTTCTCACAATTCATATACCTACTTGACTCACGCCACCGATGGATGACGGCTCTGGTATCCAGTGTCGCGGCAAGATTTTTTCACATAAAGTTGGATTACTTTCAAAAGTTGCGACTTTTTTTGACGAATGTGTAATATTATGTTTCTTTGATCAATATTTTCAAAAGATTATGGTCTCAAACGTCATTCGTGTCAACGTCATGCTTTAAAAATTTTTTTTTTTTTCAATTTTAGAGCTTATGAAGTTTTCACCGATAAATGTTACTCTGCTCTCGAGAGCAAGCGTCGACCTAAAATTATTATAAGAGTTATACTTTGACGTAATGCTCGTAATGACTCATATAGCAAAACGTTGACTTTGATGTGGTGGTACATCGAGGACGCAAATTACTTTTTCCTCTTGGGCTGTAAAATATGCCAATACATGATTTTTTTTCATATTCTCGATGTTTTTTTTTTTTTTTTTGCCTTTTACACGTAAATAACAGTAGTTTTTATTGAATGTTTTTATCATGATATGCAAGAAAAATTTAATTAAATCATTCATTAAATTTTTTTTTTGTGAAAAAAATCTTTGATAATTTAATTAGTTTTTACTTTTTACTTACGAACTCATGCTACCCTATTCCATATAAACTAATACTTTCACGTGTGCTTATTTAACGTTTAAAAGAGAGCGTCGCAGTTGCACGTGAAAAAATGTTCTCACTATCCATCCGTGCGATGCCAGTGAAAACTGCTCGTGTCAACAAAATTAGAATCTCAACTCGTACACTCGAGGAGTCAAAAGCAGCAGCAGCAGAACTGAATTCCAAAGCTGTGATGAAGCGTGACAAGGGGGCCGCGCTCAACTGGTTACTGAATCATTTGCAAATGGAATAATTCCATCCCTCCATAATTATTCCAACTGCAGACAGGAAGAGAAACGATATCGAGTCTCGTACCTGTTTTGTTGTATGACTGCGAGGCGCTCGATCAAGTGGAATCGTCGAAAATGATTATTCAAAACGTCCCACTCATTCACCCTCCCATCCTTTTCCAACTTTGGCTCTCGACAATGGACACAACAAGTGTAACGATTTCCGAGGTCAAAGGTGCCTCTATCCATCCCCTTTGATGTGTTTACCTGCACCCTATGCATACCAGCACAGCTATGAAATTGAATATGCATACCCTCCCACTGGCAGGGATCAAGAGGACTCTCACGGGCATATTAACGGGCATTGTCGCACTAAGCCGATGCTCCTCGATTTATTTAACTAAATAGAATAGAAATTACCTGACTTTTTTTTCCTCTCCAGTTTCACCAAGAAAAGTGACAAAATAGAAGGAAAGACGAAGGCATATATGTGTTAACACACTTGGATGTGGAAAGGTGCTATTAACAGGATGTAGGTACATGGGATCTGCTTTTGAGACAGAAATAGCGTTGAACGTAATTAAGAAAGCGTATCCCTGTTTTTCTCTCATTTGGCCCGATATTCTGCAGCAGCAAAGACTTTCCCACTGTTTCATTTTTGTTTAATATGGCGGAGCGCAGAATAATGGTTTCGCGTAAATTTGCGCGGCGCTTGATTAACTTAAACAAGTCTTTTGAATAATGGATCGTCGCTTCCTCTTTCGTGCACGCGCAGGTATGTACATCTGGCTTTTTCTGAGAGCGCCCGCCCCGTCGCTCGAGCATTAAAGCGCCATTCAAACTTTGCTTGCGAAACGCGTTTATTAAAACCGAGAGAATATTAATAATCGAGTCGTAATTTTCTTCTTTCTATTTTCCTTTCTTTTCAATCTCCTGTTTATTCATAACTAAAAACGGAAATGGGAATCTTTAAATTTCAATTTCCGCTGCAAGTAATAATATTTATTCAACTTGGCAAAAAAGACACTAGCGATAAGTATTATTTGCATATTTTACATTTCTTAGAAAATTGGAAAAATAATCGCAGTATGAAGAATATGGGGCTAGTGAAAATTATTATGCAAATTCAGTGATTTTTGTGTAATAAGATTCGTCACGAATGCCAGTATGTTCTCAGTTTCTTCGGAAAACAATTGTTTTTTTACTAAAAAATTTCACTTAGACACTTGCTGACAATGTCACTCAAAAATCACTGCCTTAAAATTGACAATATTGTTTCGAAATACTGTACGTACTTAACCATGAGCCAAACAATGCTTAGAACTGATGTTGCATTTATTAAAAAAAAAAAAAAAAAAGAAACAAATTTGTTGTATTATGATTACATAATATTTACTTTCTGTAGAAAAATGGTAGAAGCTAAAGAACATGATGTAAAAAAATGTCCAATGATTCTCTCTCTATTTTTTTCTTTTTTTCTTGAAGTTTCTCCATACTCGCTTCTCCCTCAGAAAGAATAAAAGAAGTCAAGCCAAGGAACAAAAATGTGCACATCGATAGCTTCATTTCATTGTTAAAGGCTGATGGCGAATACATGCTGTATCGGAATCAATATAATATCTATTATTCGATTGTGCAAGATGATAGGTAGAAAGAAAATATGTACCAAAAATAAAAGTCTCATCCACTATAGTAGTTCAACGAACTTGTGATTTTATGTACACTTACCCACTGACTCTGCCGTCCCCTTTTGTATTCCCAAGCAAAGCCACGAAAGCTTATTTATTCGATTTATACTAGTAACTCAATTATTGTAGTTCGTGACTAATAAGCTTTTCCAGCAGTTAATTATGATGTTAAATTTTTTATTTATCATCAACATTTACTACATATTCTAAAATAAACAAGTGTTTGCACAAATTCTGACGTAATTTGAGTAACTTTGTATTTTAAAATGAACTCTCAATTACAATTTTGTTGAAATTTATTTTAAAGAGATTAAATTAATTTGACCAATCATTTTCCACATGTCGATGTCACTCAGTAACCTTTTGTAAGGAAGTTTGATCATTTAGCTTCCAGCCTATACAAAACAAAGTAATTAACGAGCAAAATTTGTACACGTACGTATCCAACAGAACCGTGTTCACGACCCGCGAACTTGAAAATCATTTTTTTGCTGTTTGGTCACGTAATATAACGTTTCTTATTAGAGAGTTTCCGACATCATGGGTCGTCCACGTGGTTCCGTCAGGTGTACAGTGTACAGCTATTACGAATTTAATTCAATCCCTTTTCAGTTTGTGCAGGCAAAAGTTAACTTGAGCTGGGATGCAACGCGGAAATTAAATTTTGACGCACACTTTCGGTGGATTAAAAATATTTTTCCCACTTTCGCCGCTTGATTTTGGGTTCTCAGGCGGACAAAAAGTATACAAAACTCTTTCGAAAAGGCTTATTTACGAACCTTCTGAAGGCCCTCACATTCGGCTCGTGCCGTAAACCTCTCGGTTTGTGAATCGAAGCCTTTGCAAATTCGTACGGAATATACTATTGCCCTGACAGAGTCTATGATTTGATAGCTCCACAACCATGTGAAAATGCACTTTAATTTAAAAGATGATTTGATAACTTGATTACGTTAAATTAATTACGAGTTTTTTTAATATTTTATGCAGCGCCTCATCGATTCAGAACTATTAAACTTTTCGTTTTATCATATGTTTTGCGTAGCAGGTTCTCTACGTGGTTTTCTAAGTAATTAATTTTTCACGAAGCCGCGATTGTAAACTATTGATTTTTATATCAAATTTTACATACACTTTTTTCACACTAGAGAAACTCAATCTTTGGCATTCGAATCCAAACTGGATTTCTGCAACCTCCCACACGTCGAGTTGTCTCCAAACACTTTTTTAATTACCTATTCAGTGGCTCTCTTGTACCTCTCTATCTTTGTTTTTCACACTCATTGCATTTTTCCCGTAACGTTCTACTTTTCACGTTACAAATTCCATGCACAATGGAGACATCAAACTATTTTTCAAAGGAAAAAAACATCATCAATTAACCAACAATTGCAACGACTCGCAGCCAAAGCTACTGGCACATAAGCACAGCACCGGTGAAAATCCAAATACATCGAAATAAGCAATAAACCACAAATGTCAACAAAGACAATCGGTAATCGTGTACTGGGCCATCACTGGCAGCCAGCCAACGTCCACAACAGGGCAACAACAGAATATGACCAGAATAGCCGTTACACGTGCGCGTCTCGCGAGGGACAAATGCCGACTAGCGTAAAAGCCGAGTACACACGAGATTCCCGCCTTGGCTGGTTCAGCGGCGACACCTGAGCGCAAGCGCGTCGTACCGCACTATGTACAACGCACCTTCTCTCCACTACTCTTTATACTGAATTGGTTTTGCGTTGGCGTTCAAGCGCGCACGACGGAGATACTAACACCACCAGCCACCCCAGCCCACATTAGAGGCTATAGCTTTCAAATTTCTCGGCTGGGGCACGTCCCTGTGACTCTCGCTCTCTCTCTTATGTACTAAACGCAGACGAGGGGTTCTTTGCTCGAGCGCTTCCACATATAGCTGACATGTGCGACTAAATTAATTGCTAAAGGTGTTGATGCCGTGATAATGTCTAGTGGATATTTTTATAGTAACACATATTTTTAGAAAAAAATCATACCATGAAAAGTTCTCTTGTGCACTGTCTAATTGACAAAATAAGTTTTTCCAACAGTTAAAGTATCAGTGATAAGTTAATATTTATATGATTAACTCGGACCACACCCGTTTAGACGTTTATCCAAAACTATCTACATTCAAACGGTAACTAGTACACAAGTAGATGAATGGGATGCACTAGCGTCGGATGGTGTTGCACGAAAACGCAATCAAAGTAATTGCGCCTGAATCACGCTCCTACGTGAGCGACAATTTGGTAAATCGCGTGCCACTTATGAGAAACTGGAATAGGAGAGAAAGGAAATCTAAGGCACGACGTGATCAGGGCCACACATATAATCACAATTTTCCGTCGCGAGCACGAAAGGCACTGTAGAGCTACACTGGGGACCCTTTCGTGTATCCGAGCGAGATAGGCATCGTCTCACCCTCGCGGTCTCGAGAACAATAAACTCGAGCGTTATCTGGCTCTCATTCATCGCGAGACTGAGTTTATTATACGAGCGCCTTTCGGTTGCTGGCTTATTCTCCATCATTCGGTCTGACTAAACGTGGACTTTCACTACTGCTGCCGCTGTTGCTTACCCAAGATAAGCATCGAGTGGACCTTACACAGTTTGCTAAATGGAGGGTGTTTCAGAGGAACATCAATTTTATTTAACAAACCTTTATTTTAAGTTCTGCTTCTAAATCAACTAGAGAGACAATTTATTTTTTTGTACTGCAATTCTATCGTATAGGCGTTGAAGAGCTCAGAAATTGAATTGTTGGAGCACTCAGTACATTTTTTTTCTTTTTTAACTGATATTTGATCGTTTGGTGAATCCATGATATCCATTGGTAAGTGAAAATCGAATCCGAACAATTCAAGTTTTAATTCATTCGTTTTTAAATAAATGGAAATTGTAATTTAATTATATTTTGAAACAGTACTTCGCTTGTTCGTTATAAATCGAATTTTTCCGATAATTTGAAAATTCAGCAATCATCGCTTTTATCAAACATAAAAATCACCATTATTATTTACCCACATGAGAGAGCGAGTTTTTCGAGATTTTCGAGTTTGCTAAATGATTGAAAGCCTCACATTTTATTTCTACGATGGTTAAATTATCGGAATATTATTTCAAAAACTCGGGGATCAATGGAGATTCAATGACTCTTGCACAAATACGTGAAACACAGACAAGCAAACTTCGAAAGATGCAGTATTGTGCCTTACAAAAACTTTTGGTAGACGTAAATCGATTGAATAAACTATACGAGACTCAAAGTTGGAAAGAAATTCAACGCTCAGAAAAAAAAAGAAGCAAAAGGCAAAAAGCGAACGTTCACGAGTACATACATGCGAGAACTGCGGGCCAACAGAAACAGAGAAACGGACTCGAGAGCACCGATGAATTTTTTTTTTCTCTTCCCTCATCCGAACGAGTGCAGTCCGATGTGTGTTTGCATTGGCCAACTTTACGTAACCGTACATTGCATCTGTACGTATGTGTACTCTCTTGAAAACGCGACGCAGCAGCTTCTCCTTCACTTCCAGAGGTGGATATGGGAGGTGGAAGAGGCGCGTGCACTTTTTATCGCGTGCAAGTTGCATGCCACCCTGAGGGTGCATTTTTACGCTTGCTTTCCATAAATATTTCTTTTCAAGTTTTACCATGGTGTACAGCGCAGCGCGTTCACTTGAAATGCAAACCGTCCTCTCGCCCTGGCTACTATAATATACAGGACACTGGTAGGGGGATGACGCGTTACATTATGGGTTACATGTCACCATGCGTTTGCGTGTTTATAAGCATCGATTCCACCTGGTTCCATCCACCTCGGACTACTCTTGCTTGCCCCTAGTGGTTTTTGGCCGTGCTTTTGTTGGTAAATGTAACATATATCATCGCACAAACGTAAGTTTAACAAACAAGTTTTCAAGGAGTAGATGTAGCATGGCTGCTTAGCATACTTCAGACAGTAATAGAATTACGCTGTAATAAACTATGTGAAGAATATCTTGATGAAATCAGCACATTGACGTTCCCGTATTAAAAAAAAAAAAATTTATAGGGCTTCTTTTGTCGGAATTTTTTTTTTTAATCAATGTTTAGCACTAAATATGCTTAATAAAGCCAAAACGAAGCATCGATATAGTGTTTTATAATTTTTTATTCAGTTTGAAAATCCAATAACCCAATTTAGACGTAAATAGTAGCACGGTAGCCATGCATTTGAAAATCCAATAACCCAATTTAGACGTAAATAGTAGCGCGGTAGCCATGCATCGTCTGCTACTCAAACTTGCATGTGCCGCTACCGCACCACTGGATCTTTGTTTTAAACAATCTAAACTTTTTTTGATTACATTTTTCGAATTACTAATTGAGTAAACCATGTAGGCAAACAAATAAGTGCTCGAAATTTTTTGTCAATTCGACAATTTTTAAAATACTTCTCATGAGTAGTGTATGTCAGTGTACGATCAGACATTGCCGTATTCATTTAGTTTTTTAGCTAACAGAGATTGTAATATATAAGTAGTGAGAACTACATATCAAAATAAGGACACTAGAAGGTAAACAATTAAGTTTACAGAATTGTAAATTATCATTGATACAATCACTTTATCAAAAAACGATTGAGAAACAATTCATTTCAAGATAAAGAAAAAAAGGAAAGCAACATTTGAAGTAGTACTATTTGCGAAAGTGGTGAAACGTAAATTTAGCAGTGACCGTAAAAATTAGTAGGCACTGAATAAACTGACTTAGATTCACAATAGCCACGAGCTGCTCACTCCACTAAGACAAGCCCCACAGTTTTTAGCGCAGCCATTCATTCCGTTCAACAGAGGCTAAAGGGCAAGCGCTCACCAGAGGGTATAAGTAAGAGCAAACAATCGTCTCACGCTCGCAAAATCATCAGACAGTCAAAATTGTGTTGCCCGAGAAAGTACGCAGCCTTACAATACGCCACAGTCCAGCACATCGTTTCGTTTGAGCTGCTCGAGGTACGGCTTAACTCGACTTGGTCAACTACTCGGACTTCTGCTGTTACTCACCTGACTCCCAGAGCATAACTGTGATTGCTACGATTGTACTGTACCAGCAAGATGTTCCCCCTGTGCAGCGGACCGAAATTTTGGATTTAATTGCAAGTTTGACCTCCAAGTCCTGGCTTATCCCAAGCGCCTCGCGTCTCTCAACGTCACCCTCTTCTCGTCTTTTCTTCCTGTGTTGATCGTACTACTCGCGTTATTTCACTAAATTTTTTATGTCATTTACCTTTTCTTTTTTGTGAAATAAAAAGTGAATTAAGCATGGCATAAATACTCGTCAAAAGAGAAAAGAGGGCCAATAGGTACCTAACAATTTAAATCCGTTTTGCAGGACGATAGTGGTTAAGCAATCGAAAAAGCTTAGCCACTGGCAAATTCATCAATCAAACGGTCAAGCTGCCCTTCACAAGTCTCTTGTACGACAAGCGACTGCACACAGCTGGTGGTGTACAGAGTAGTGCTGGTCACGCCAGTCTTTAATCAATTATGTAAAATATTTGCGAACCTCGAGGCTGTAAACCAGCCGGTGACGCAATGGCTTTGCTGTATCTTTGTTTACCTTTGCTCGCAGCCTCGAGGGCAACGATGCTTTCTCCATCGTGTCCCTTGGCACGGCTAGTTATTAAAACTTCCAAATTAACTCCTGCTCTCCAAGTGAGATTACCACTCGACTCACTGGATTTATCTTAAAACTTTTTTCCATCACCCTACGTCTCGCTCTTTTTTTCCCTGTTAAACTGATAGTTCTACAAAACTATGAAAAAATAATCATGACCATGAAAATTTAATACATTTTTTGCATTGCGCACTGTTTGTCAATAATGTTGCGTCGCATTGTATTACACCACTGGCTTACTTGAATGTAATAAATGCTGTTTCAATTAATCGATCTCATTACGCAAAGCGACAACGTGGCAAAGAAAAAAGGTAGATTACAAGCTGATCATTCACGAAACAAAGTTTGTTTGTTTGTTTGTTTGTCCATCTATTTTTGCTCTCATATTTCACGTGAGTCGTACTGTCTGGCTATATATCTCGGTGGCTAGCCCCGTCCGCAAGGGCTCACCCCCTCCTACCACCCAAAGTTCGAGATACGAGATTATCCGGGTCTCTCGTGAGCTTTAAGGCACTCCACTATGGTTGAGCTGGTCGCAGTGCCCCTGTCTCGTGTCTGTCTTTGCTGCTTTCCAGCGGCGATAAGCCGTACGTGTATGTGCATTGTGCTTCCCTAAAGAAGTGGGACTGACCTGGACGTACTTAGTTTGCAGGGGCCAGCCAATGTCATCAGCCACGATGTATAAGCGCCTCGTTATAGATTAGCCGATGTGTTGCGTACCCTCCTTTTAACCCAATTTCGTTTGAATATAATTTTGATACGTAAGTATAATGGTAATACGTAAGAAAACCATACAATTGAGCACACGGTGGCAGCCCAAAGATGTACAGCACTACTTAAAAAACAGTGCAACTTCATAATTTTGCAAGGCCATCCTGTTT